GGGGCGCCCGGGGGACCCCCCGGGGACACGGCGGGGACACCACGGGGACATCCCAGGGACACCGCGGGGACGCCCGGGGACACCGCGGGGACACCACAGGGATACCCCGGGGACGCGCAGGGACACCTTGGGACATCCCGGGGACACCGCAGAGACACCCCGGGGACACCACGGGGACACCGCGGGGACACCGCGGGGATGCCCGGGGACACCCCCAGGACATCCCAGGGACATGCGGGGACACCGTGGGGACATCCCGGGGACACCGTGGGGACATCCCGGGGACAGCATGGGGGAACCTTGGGGACACCCCGGGGATGTGCGAGAACACCCCAGGGACACCTCAGGGACATGCAGGGACACCCTGGGGACACCCCAGGGACATCCCAGGGACACGCAGGGACACTGCGGGGATACCTTGGGGACATCTCGGGGACACCTTGGGGGCACCCTGGGGACACCTCAGGGACATGCAGGTACACCCCCAGGGACATCCAGGGAACACGTGAGGACACCTCGGGGACACTTTGGGGACGCGTGTGGACACCTTGGGGACACCCTGGGGACAGCTTAGGGACACCGTGGGGACACTTTAGGGACACGCAGGGACACCCCCAGGGACATCCTGGGGACACGTGGGGACACGTGGGGACACCCTCAGGAACATCCCGGGGACACACAGGGACACCTCAGGGATACCTTGGGGACACCTCAGGGACAGCGTGGGGGCACCGTATGGGACAGGTCCCCAGTGTCCCCAGCATCCCCAGGTGGGACAGGTCCCCAGTGTCCCCAGTGTCACCGCATGGGACAAGGTCCCCAGTTCCCCCAGCGTCCTCAGGTGCGACAGGTCCCCAGTGTCCCCATATGGGTCAGGTCCCCCCTGTCCCCAGTGTCCCCAGTGTCCCCATGTGGAGCAGAACCCAAGGGGGTCCCTTGTCCCCTGGGATGTCCCTTGTCCCCAGGAGATGGTCCCCAGGGATGGGATCTCCTGTCCCCATGTCCTCACGGGGGTTCCTTGTCCCCAAGGATGTCCCTTGTCCCCAGGAGATGGTCCCCAGGGATGGGGTCTCCTGTCCCCATGTCCTCACGGGGGTTCCTTGTCCCCAAGGACGTCTCTTGTCCCCTAGGGGGTCCCTTGGGATGTCCCTTGTCCCTGGGGATGTCCCTTGTCCACTGTCCCTTGGGATGTCCCCTGAGGGGCGATGACCCTTGTCCCCAGGGGGATGCCCTGGGGGGGGATGTCCCTTGTCCCTTAAGATGTCCCTTGGAGGAGGAACTCCCTTGTCCCCTGTCCCTTGGGACGTCCCCAGGGGGAGGATGTCCCTTGTCCCCAGGGGGATGTCCTGGGGGGTCCAATGTCCCTTGGGATGTCCCTTGGAGGGGGATGTCCCTTGTCCCCTTATCCCTTGGGATGTCCCTTGTCCCCTGGGCATGTCCCTTGTCCCTGTCCCTTGGGATGTCCCTCGGGGGGATGTCCCTTGTCCCTTGGGATGTCCCTTGTCCCTTGGGCATGTCCCTTGTCCCTGTCCCTTGGGACGTCCCCTGGGGGGGATGTCCCTTGTCCCCCGGGGGGGTCCCTTGTCCCCTGTCCCCACAGAGAGCGGGGTGCCCGCTCGCCGGGCATGTCCCTTGTCCCTGTCCCTTGGGACGTCCCCTGGGGGGGATGTCCCTTGTCCCCCGGGGGGGTCCCTTGTCCCCTGTCCCCACAGAGAGCGGGGTGCCCGCTCGCCGGGGTATTTTTAGCCTCGCCGCCCCCGCCCTGCTGGGTGCCGGTGACACGGTGACGGTGACACGGTG